TTTCACGAGGAGTAACGGTAGTTCGGAATAGGAACCTAGTCCGAACTACCTAGTTCGAGCCCCGTGTAGCCGCGCTACACGGGGTTCGAAGCAGCGGGGATTTAAAAATGGTGGCTCCCCGCTTATGCTAATGAAGCCCGGGAAATTCAAATCCCGGGCTTCATTAGCAAGTGCGGTATGCATACATTACCCCGCTAGTTCGAACTAGCGGGGTAGTGTAAACATACCCTAAGAGTTTAACCTAGACAGCCAGCCAACTTGCCGAAACATTAGGAAAAAGAGGTTTCCTGTTCACTAACCAGTATGTTTTGGTATTCCTGCTTCTGCTGCATCCCACTCATAGGATATTTGTCCTCTGGGTTGTTTGTCCTTTTGATTTCTTAGCCTGAAGTTTGCAGCACTGATTCTCATATCCCATTTCTGTTAACCAGCTCAAAGCGTGCTCCATACCAATGTAAGATTGCAGATAACCTGGATCCCAGACTGGTGCCATAAGTGGTTTTGACTCACAGATGTCCATGTAACTGGCTAGGGTAGATCTTTGCAGGGGATTTTACAGCCCACACAGAAAATGGAATTAAACAGCAGATAGGGTTGCCAGGTGTCCGGTATTCACCCGGACAGTCTGGTATTTTTGCCTCCTGTCCGGTAAAAAAAATTCAGAAAATACCGGACATCTAAGATGTCTGGTATTTTCTGATTTTTTTCTCTGGCCAAGAGGTAAAAATGCCAGGCACCTGGCAACCCTACAAATACTCAGCGCCTGGCCTCTCCCCTCCCCACACCCCAACCCTCCCCTGGCTCCCAACATCCCCAGCCCCCCAATCCCAGACCCCATGCTTACCTGGTTCTGCAAGGCTGCCAGCACAAAAGACCTAGGGGAAACAATGACTGCCCTGGGTCTTAGTGCTCAACCACTTCCCTCTTCCTATCCCTGCACTCACTCTTAAAGGTCTTAAAGGGGACATGCTGTTTTAATGCTGGTTTTTTTTTTCTTAATAAGTCTTGGAGTCCTTTTTTTTTTTTTTGCTCAATAACTTTGGTCTCCCCCCCTTTTTTTTCTTCAACGGAATTTTTGGGTTTTTTTGAGGGGGACGTGCGGGTGTTCGGTATTTTTGTTTCAACCATCTGGCAACCCTAACAGCAGATGATGGACCCACTTTTTTATTAGTCTTTGTTTTCCTTTATGCTGGGCAGATATCTTTGTGCTAATTGCCTCTGTGCCGGTGGTAGCTGTCGGGAACCAGGGCAATGTTCTGGCAACATCGCTCAGAAGTCTGCGCTTCCTTCAGATCCTACGGATGCTCCGAATGGACAGGAGGGGAGGCACATGGAAGCTTTTGGGATCAGCCATTTGTGCACATAGCAAAGTAAGTGAGGAGTTTGCACGATTAATCTGAGTTAAGGAGAAAGCATCCCAAAACGGAGTCAGATCAGACACTTGAGAAAAGTATTGCCTAGTGTTTAAAGCAGCAGGCTAGTAGTCAAGATCCTGGAGTTCTGTTCCCAACTTTCCTGCAGACATGCTCTGTCACCCTAGTCCAGAGCTACTCAGAATGAGGCCCATGGGCCTCATGTAGCCTGTGGCCTGGGGTGCAGTTTGGGTTTATGTGGGGCTCAACACACGGCCCACAGGTGGGAGCCAAAACAAAAAAGTAGTCAATATAATGGTCTTCTGTTGATATGCATTTTAGTAGTTAAATTTCTGGACTCTCATTGCTCATTAAAAGTGCTGTCATATGGGTGAAAATTGGATAAATATTGCATTTTATTCTCATCAACAGAACTGACTTAAATGGGGCTTGCGTGTAGTGTAGTCTTGCCCTAATCTTTGTATTCATGCCCATCAGTGTAAAAGAAGCTATTTGCATGTAATCAACCATACTTAAGTTGTAGCCCTTGGCATGCACTGTGAGTAACATTGTGCCCTCAGGGCTTCCAAAGTTGAGTAGCCATGCTCTAGTCAAATCTCCTATCCTCTTAGGTCCTGTGAGATGTTTTGGCCTTAACTTCAATGGGAGTTTGATCGTGCCCTTATTCATAAAGTGTGTCAAGCTCTTGGGAAGATAGCCCAATATAATAGTGAAGTGTTAACACAGACTTCATGACACAGATCAAAGGTGTGGAATTCCAGTGGGAGAGGGGATTCACAGACTTTTCTCTACATGGCAACCATTAAGATTTTGGATCTAATTTCCACTCTTCATCAGATTAAATTTTAGTTGTGATTGCTTGCGTGCATTGAAGAGCAGCTGTCTTCACTCTGAGGGGACTGGGAATTTCTTTGTCACCGTTTAAGAAGAAATATAAGTTCACCAAATGGTCAAGTTGACTTATGCATCACTGGAGTCTGGGTCCAGGAGGTGATTTCTGATCCTTGATGGGTTTGACATCTGCATGTCAGAACTCACCTTGGGCTGACCCTTACACAGACCTGTGTCCAAAAGGCATCATCTGACTCTTAAAAGAATTATCCCTTGAGAAATATAGTAAAGAGCAGTGACTGGGTTCCCCTATCCCCCCAACCCATTTATGTGAAACTAAAAGATTTACCCAGCGTTGCTCCTTAACTCAATTCATTTTTGGTTTTCTTAATTTAAATAATTGGTCTAGGATGGGGCTGGGGATGAGGGATTCAGCAGGCAGGTTATCCCGGGGAGAGAGGACAACCCCAGACCTCTCTCACCGCAGCAGATTGGGGCCAGGTGAGAAGCACTTCTCCATGGCTACTGCAGCTGCAGTAGGTATAGCCGGGGGAAGGGTTCATGTCCCCCACTTGGGACAGGTCCAGGTTTGTCTGCCCCCTGGGCTCCCCAGCCAGAGTGAGGAATGCAGCAAACTCTCTCACTTCCTGACAAAGGACTCTGGGGCTCTGATCCTACCTTTTCCAGTGTGGGACTCTGTGACTTTGGAACACCAGAAGTGGCAGATGTTCAGAAGTGCTGAACACCTGTAGCTGTTTGTTTATTTATTTGCATTACTGTAGCACCGAGATGGCCTAACATGCTAGGTGCTGTACAAACATATAGTAAAAAGACAGTCCTGACTCCCCCAAAGCTTACAAACATGCTTGGAAATCAAGCTACCTTCTCCACCAAAACAATATATATCTAGGGGTGTGTCTAGACTATATGCCTCCTTCGACGGAGGCATGTAGATTAGCCAGATCGGCAGATCGGGGCAGCCCTTTTAATTTAAATGAAGCCGCGATTATTTTAATCGCGGCTTCATTTAAATTAAAAGGGCTGCCCCGATCTGCCGACAAACAGCTGATCGGCAGATCGGGGCAGCCCTTTTAATTTAAATGAAGCCGCGATTATTTTAATCGCGGCTTCATTTAAATTAAAAGGGCTGCCCCGATCTGCCGACAAACAGCTGATCGGCAGATCGGGGCAGCCCTTTTAATTTAAATGAAGCCGCGATTATTTTAATCGCGGCTTCATTTAAATTAAAAGGGCTGCCCCGATCTGCCGACAAACAGCTGATCGGCAGATCGGGGCAGCCCTTTTAATTTAAATGAAGCCGCGATTATTTTAATCGCGGCTTCATTTCCCTCTTTCGATCTGGCTAATCTACATGCCTCCGTCGAGGGAGGCATATAGTCTAGACACACCCTAGGTCCTAAACCTCCGTGCCTTCATTTATACATCTGTAGCATTGGTATACTCCTGCCTCGAAGGGGTGCTGCAAAACCAGGGCCAGGTTGAAGCCCAGGCAATATACGTCTCTGTAAAGGACTCCTCAGCTCATTGGATTCCCTCAGTGTCTCAATTTTCTCATTTAAAACCATAGGAGGTTTCTAAACTGATGGTTGTGAAGAAAAGCTGAGACGTGTGACTCAAATGTAACTGATGCAGTGACATCGGCATGAAACCTGAAACAATAGTGTTGAGTGGTTAAACTGCCCCAGGCACCTCGATGGCTTGTCATCTCCAAAACCCACTGTGTGTGTTGCGGCAGGAGCAATAGAGAGCAACAGCCCCAGTCCCTCATCCCGAGCAGATTCACCTTGGCCGCTGAGGTAGTGTTGGAGGCTTCCCAACTGCTTTGCTGCCTCTCTGGGATCATGGAGAGGGGAGCTTCTGTAGGAGGGAAATGAGGGGGGCATTCCCAATGAGAGGCTAAGGCCCTGGTGCCAGGTCCCATGGAATAATGAGGCTGTGGCTCTGAATCCAGCCATGAGCCAAACTACAACTGCAAATTGCTTTTATTTCCTCAGCAGCAGAGGTCTTTATAGGTACTAAGTATCGTCACAGCTCTGCGGTATGGAACAGCCAGCGCTTTGCTGCATTGGACCCGGACTGTAATCCAGACAGGAACGACAGTTCTTGCTGTTCTGCACTGTGTATCTCTCCTCTTTTGTGGCTCAACGTCTGGTGTTGCCATCGCAGAAGCTGATGCTGTTTTCAGTCTCCCCCCTTTTACAGTCTGTTTCTTTTCCAGGAGCTCATCACTGCTTGGTACATCGGGTTCCTGACACTTATTCTCTCCTCATTCCTTGTTTACCTGGTCGAGAAAGATGTGCCTGAAAAGGATGCCCATGGAGTCGAGATGAAAGAGGAGTTCGAAACCTATGCAGATGCACTGTGGTGGGGGCTGGTAAGTAGCTGTAGAAACTGTTTCTCATTTGTTGGTTTAATGGAAATAAAGCTGTCTCTGGTTGAATTAGAGTATGAGGGGAATGGAAGGAATTCGGGTAAAATATTCAGAAGCACCTAAATCCTATTCTCAGAAGTGATTTGGGTACTTAGGAGCTTAAGTCTGGCTGAAAATCAATAGGATGTAAGCTCCTAAGTGTCAAGTAAGTTCTAGTGACTTTCCGTGAGCGTTAAGCTCTCGTGTACCTAAATCACTTTTGAGATTGAGACTTAGATGCCCAGGTCATTTAAGTGTTTTTCAAAATTTAAACTCTGGAACTTCGTTAGCTGGAGCCTAAGGGCCAGTCTTTAGCAACCAGCAGCTCCTGTTTAGTCACCTACATGAAGTGGCCAGATTTTCAAAACTCAGAACAGGGGGAGCTGCTCCTATGTTCAGCACTTTTTGAAAAGCTGGCCATTTACAGGCCTAAAGAGAGGCAGAGCTCTTATGGCGATCTGTCTGTAATTGTGGGTGTTGAGCTCTCTTGCAAATGTGGCTCAGAAAGTCTGGTGAAGAAATCCCTATGGCAGAGATTTTCAAAGGCACAAGTGGGAGTCAGATGCCCAAATGCCCCTGATTTTCCCTGGGTTTTTGGCACACAACTGTCCATTGTGCTTCTGCAGATCTGAGAGGCAAGTTTGAACCCTAGAGGATCGTAATATATGAAGTCAGTCCCCCACGAGTGGTCTGAGTTTGGCTTAAATTGATGCGTTGTATGTTTCTGTTGGAAATATGTTGGGGGCATATTCCAAGTGTGAGGGCAACTGCAAGGTCATGCTGCAGTCTGAACCAAAGATAATCATGGTATAAGACCTGAACCATGGCATTGCCCCTTTGTTTAGAATACTCTCCAACATCCCTCTCACAAAAACTCACAACAAGTTGAACCTTTCTAGTCTGGCACTGTCTGATCCATCAATATCTGTGGTCTGACATGATTTTAGTTACCCGGATATCCTCTTACCAGGGATATGGCTAAGTTTCCTGTGGTCTCATAAAGTTTGTTTAAAGCCACTAGTCCCAACTGTCAGTGTTCTCTGCTGTAATTTAGCTCTAATTTACTCCCACATGTCTTCAAAGAGCCCAATAAGCAGTGGAAGTGTTGGTAATGCTGCTAGACAATATTGACATCCTATGGTCCAGCAAATTCTCTGGTTCGGCCCCCATTCAGGTCCCGAGGGTGCCAGACTAGAGAGGTTCAACCTGTACGTGTCAATTTAATCCAAACTCAAATTTGGCTACGTCTACACTATGCGCTTTGCCGGAAGAGGCAATGCAAATGAAGCGCTGATTAGCATTTTCTCGTGCTTCATTTGCATTATCTCTTCCAACCAGTTTTTGTGCAAAAACATGCAGTGTGGATCTGTCCATTTAGTGCAAAAATCCCTTTTTGCACAAGAATCATATGCCTCTCGGCATCTTAAATTTAGATATACTGGAGCTTAACTCTGACGTCTTAAATACTTAAATTCCGCTTATATTTCAGCAAAGGATATAGGTTGTAGTGCCCACTGTGATGGCATGTGCACAGACCCTTAGCAGAGAAGAAGCTTCCTTTGTTGTTATGTAAATAGCACCCCTGAGCAGGGTGCTGTTCAGAGAAGGAAGAGGATAAATTCATTGACATCTGTCATACTCGTAGGTACTATGATAAGCACCATAAAAACTGTATATACAGTTTATGTTTTCCAGATTGCTTGCAGAATTCATGCTGAGAATGTGTGTGTTTGTGCATTTTCCTACAATGTTCAGAGGTCAAAGCAAAGATTTATAAACTGGTCATGCACGTTTGAGGGTAAAGCTTAAAAGAAACCCTCCTACTAGTCTATTTGTGTTGTCTTTCTTATGGAATGGCCAACCCATTCTCCCCACAGATTACTCTAGCAACAATTGGCTACGGTGACAAGACCCCCAAAACTTGGGAGGGGAGGCTGATAGCAGCCACGTTCTCTCTTATTGGAGTTTCATTTTTTGCTCTTCCTGCCGTAAGTACCATCCTTCTTTTTTGTTTTAAAAAAACCACAGAGATAATGATGCAGAGTGGCAGACAGAATTGATGGACCTCTGGGCAAGTTGGGAGGGGGAAGTCTGTGTTTCCTGAAGGGGCGAAGCATCACAGAAGTGGAAGCGCTGAGGTAGCTAGCCTTTAGCACCACCCATACTATGCCATGCCCCTCTCCCGCTCCCACAGTCAGTCCTTAGCATCACCCAGAGCACACTGATGTCACCCCTCTATTTTTTAATCACCAGGCCCCGGGGAAGTTGCTCTCTTTGCCCTTTCCTCACCACCACCTCGGCAGACGTATAATAATCTTGTAATAATTCCTATAATAATTCCAAGATGGAATCTTAATCACATTCATGCATGCTGAGGGGAAAGCAATCTCTTTTCTCCTTGTGGCTAAGATAAAATGGAGCTGAATCTGAATTATCCTGTGTGCTGTGCAAAACTTTAGAACTAGGCCTCTAAAGAGAATTTTTCAGGTTTTGTTACAAACCTGAGGCTTGGACCAAATTTGCAAAAAGGGTAAAGGTAAAGTTTTTAAAGGTGACTTAAGCCCTTAACCTTACTGAAAGGCAATACAATTTGGATTTCAATGGGACTTACGTTTCTAAATATCATTTTAATTCCAGCCTTAGATTCCTAAATTCCTTTTCAAAATGGGATTGGTCACCAAAGCCCCCAAGTTATTTTTGAAAAAATTAACCCTGATCTGTAAGCGTCTCATGTGAGGTTGTGCCAACTTTTGAGTGGCCCGGGACCAACCTGTGGTTTCAAATAGAAACAGTAAAAAACTTGGAGCTTGAGATTGGTCTCCTATTACCCAAAACTTAAAAAGAAATTCATCAGGGATGGGTGCTCAGGTGATGCAGTATCCAGAATATGGTTCAGATGCACCACCTTGGAGTTTAGCTCGGTTTTGACTGAAACAGGGGAGGAGGAAAACAGACCAGCTGCACATCTTGTTATTCAGAAGGCAATAGAAGACTAAGAAGCTTTTTGAAAATCTTGTGAAATGTGGGCCTATGGTGAAGGCAGGGTTTGTCAGAAAATGGTGGTGCCCTGTGAACTAGAACTGCTAGAAAAGTGCACTGACCCATTTGAAATGCTCCCACTAATTTCCCATAATTCTGATTGTCTCATCCATATGTTTTAAGAAAACTTTCTCCTCAGATTTTATTTTATTCTTGTGTTTTCAATCAAACAACACGAGACAACCATTACTACTTCTGCTTTCAGGGCATCTTGGGGTCAGGGCTAGCTCTAAAAGTCCAGGAACAACATCGTCAGAAACATTTTGAGAAAAGAAGAAAGCCGGCAGCCGAACTTATTCAGGTTAGGATTCTCTGGGTTTCCTTCTTGAAATGATAGTGCATAATAAGGGTGCTATGTAATAGAGCAAGAAATTCTCCTTTGAAGTTCTTATTTCCCTGTGCCATATATGGGTACGGCTAGACTACAAGTTTGTTGAAAAAAGATACACAAAATGCACTCCGCATTTTACGTACCTTTTTCCGATTCTTTTGTCGAAAGAGGCTTTTCCGACATTTGGCCCAGCTAGATTGGGCCAGATGTCAGAACCTCCTCCCCTTTCTGAAGCCTGCTTCTTCTTCATAGAACGAGGAATACAAGGGCTTCCGAAAGAACGCATTTACTCTTCCGCAAAAAAAAAAAAGCAGAAGAGCAAACGGGTTCCCTGGACACGGCGGGGTTTTTTCGGGATACCTCCAAAACCCCCGCAGTCTAGCCGTACCCTATGAGAAGTTGTGTTTTGTAATGAAGATGTACATTTTGAAGTCAGACAAGATGACAGGATGGTCCCTTCTAGCATAAAATCTCTGAATTCGTAAAACTTTTGGAGCAAAAGTGGCATGTTTAAAGAGAAATTATTCATTTGGCTGAAATTTTCTAGGGAAACACCCCACCAACCTTCATTTCAGTGGTCCAGAATCACCTGAAACAAGATGGCAAAACCTTTTGTGCTGTGCGCTGGGGGGCAGCAGAGGGAGAAATCGCCTATTTTGACAGGCCCCAGTTTCCATTGTTTCCACCCTTTTTGTTGTAAAAACTCATAATTATATGGACTGTTGTTCAAGAGTCACTTGTTTCTATTGATAAGGGCTGCAACATAACATGCATAAATGTTTCTATAAAAGAACCAAGAAGAAAAAGTAGTTTGCAAAAGCAAAAAAAAAAAAAAGTCTGTTACGCATCCCTGGATTGCTGGCTGTCTTAAGAGTTAGTTCAAAGTACATTTAATTCAGAGGAAAGGCTGCCATTGGCTCCACTGGGATTTGGATCAGAGCCTTACATTTTATTTTGTAAAAAATTATATAAAATTGGTAGCTTGGATGTCAATCAGTTTGACAGAAACTCTGTATGCACTACAGGCCATGTCCTGAGTCAAATGATGTATTGCTCTCTTTGATATAAATGGAAGCTGTGGGTATTCAGCACCTCTCAGGGTCAGACCCATTCTTAGGAGAAATAGGCTGAACAGCATACTTTTACATTAAAATTGTTATCTAACAAAGCACAAGGTACTGTGAGGATGTCTGGATAGGGTTGACTCACTGATACTGAAGAATCACTGCAGAACAGGCAGGCAGGGTAACCACAGTACGGTTGTTTATGTACTAATGGAAGTTTGATAGTGCCAAGTCTAAAATCACTCAAGAGAACTTTCCACAGCAGTATATTAAACTGATTGTTGCCTGCTAACCAAGGCTCTTTCAGATTCCCAGAAACATCAGACAGATCACCATTGTACTGTACATTCCACTTAATGCTCTTTTGGACTGATCAGACTTTAGAATAAAGTAAGATTAGTAGTATGTAACATCTTCTGGGCATCTGAAAGTGATGGGCAGTGCACAATACCTTGCCACATATGCTGCTCCTGGGAACAGTTTTTGAGGACTGATGTCCTACCGCTTCTTTTTCCTATTATACTCTTTACTTGAACTATGGCACCATCTAATGGCCACTCTCAATATTGCTGTTTAATAATTCAGGGCGACTCACTGAGTACCTGCATTGATACCTTCTTTTGAGCTAAGAAGAGTAGTAACTGGCTGAATTCACTTATAAGCACAGATAAACATTTCCCCTAATACTGCTAATGTCCCTTCATGTGTTATCCAGGCTGCCTGGAGGTACTATGCTACTAACCCCAACAGGATGGATCTCGTTGCCACCTGGAGGTTTTATGAATCAATTGTATCGTTTCCATATTTCAGGCAAGTGTTGTGCTGCCCGCTCAGATCAGTAATACCCTATCCAGCAGAACCCAGCCAGGACATGGGATCAGTGTTTCCTTTAAGCAGAGTGCTTATGCAGCTGCTGAAGATACATTCAAACCGAGCTGATTAGCAGAATCCCCATAACTAGGTTTTGTGTTTCTATTGGTGGTGCACATTTGCACATGCCTGGGTGCACATAAAACATTATTCCATACATGGGTGGAAAAGATTGGAGGGAACATAGAATGGGATGTGGAAATTATGTGGCTAAACAATGTTTTGGATAACTGGGCTGTCTCAGTGTTACTCATGCAAATCAGGGAACATCACTAGATTTCGTTTAGAGGGAGGTTTCAGGCCATAAGGGGTTCTGCTGCATAAACCGATATATCTTTTCTGATCAGTTGCCATTTTGATAATCTTTTCCAACACTGTCCTTCACTATTGTTTATTACACATCAATTTAGTGTTTGCAGACTTTTCTGTTTTGTCGATAATAATTCAGTTCCATAGAGGCTGGGAAACTAATTTTGAAACCTTTGAGTTTTTGAAAAATGGATACCATACACTGGGGAAAAAAGGTATTTGTGTGTTGTTTCTCTATGTGTTTTGATTTACAGCCCCTAAGAATGGGGCTCTGCAGCCCTAATAACTTAGTTTAAATTTTCCTCAGAGTGGTGCAAATGGGCCCTTATAGAGGAGCTTCCACCAATAGATTTTAGAAATATTCTTGTGTCTGTCAGTCTGTCTGTTAATTTTTTTTCAAGAACTCCTCCTAAACAGTAAGAACTAGGACCACCAAATTTGATATGCAGATTCCTCTTTTCCTAACTTTTAAAGCAAGGTCAGGGTTTCGTTGTGTCAGGAAAACAGGAGGTGAATGGAATGGGATTGTTTTTTATAACAAGGAAAGGGAGAGGGCTGTTAGGAGGGACAGTTATACTGCAGAGTGACCATAGGGGGAAGGCCACACCACTGCTCCCTCGTGTGCCCACCACAGGGGGAACCAAAGTTACTACCAACCTGCCTTTAGCCCCCATGCTAGGCAAGGGGGGATTGGGTGGGAAGTGCAACCCCGCAGGAGCCGCCGACAGCAGTTCAACATAACCCCAGACAACCCAGAGAGCCTCTGGGGACAACAGTCCATCATGGCCCAGGGCACCCCAGGGTGCAAGTGTGGTCCCCAGTGGCTTTGGGAACTGCTGCCACTGGCCCAGCACATCGACAGATACTCTTGAAGCCACTGCCTCAGTGTGAAAAGCAAGTGTAAAAATGGTAAATTATGTAGTATATAGTGTGTTCAGTATATTACTACAGAGCAATACAATAATCCACTTCATCTGATGTAATATACTGGCATGCATGCACATACACAGTCTTATAATGCGCACAGACACAAATACCCACACACATACGCTCATGATAACCTGCTTGTGAAGCTATGCTTTAATTTCTATATATGGAGTAAGAGGCTTGTTTTTCAGATTCAGGTTCAGTTTGACAAGTTGTTAGTCTGAAAACCATTTCTGGCTGTAAACTGAGCATGTCTGATCGTGAAATCATGTAGAGAAAATAAATATGGAACCCCTGAATGCATTGTAGCTTAAATCACTTTTCTGACTCTAAACTGTCCTTTAGTTCATCAAGAAATGTTTCCTCTGTACAAGAAACAGATCCTGAAACTATTTAGGTGATACTGTTCATAGGCTCCACCCAAGCATGGGGAAATCACCCTAGATTCCAATAAATTTAGGAGGAAGATCCCAGTGTAAAGAAAAGATGGGTCAGATTTGTAATATTTCATAGAAAAATACTGAGCAAAGAGATGACCACTTTACTTTAAAATAACCTTAATATATAATAATTAGAGATAATTTAGGTCACAGCCATTCAAAGAAGGGAATTCTATTTCATTTAGAATCTTATGCTGTTCACATTTCAGTGGCATCTGAATGCCTTTGACTTGAGATGAACAAAAGATAGTGATAGTTTTATTCTTGGAAATATGACAGAACATCTGTAGAAAGGGGTGTCATTTATCCACTGCATTAAGGATACATGAATCTTTGAAATTGTCCCAATTAGGCAGGCATGCTGCTTTTCAGATGTCAGTTAAGTGAACTCTGCTATGTAAGGCCTTTTTTGTGTGGTATTACATATCTCTCCTCTACTCTCTTCTGCAGATTTCAGGGGCAAGTAGGGAACCTGCTTTTCAGGTCAGCTTAGTGGAATTACACAGCTCAGAGACAAGCTGAGAAAAATCTACCTGACAACAAACAGGCCTTTGATCTATCCTTTCTTTTTCTTTCTGTCTGTCTGTCTTTCTTCACTAATAAATCGTTTGTGAGACAGAGTATGAACCTGCACCTCAAAATCTGCAGACTAACTGTCCGTGTCGACCCTGCTGATGCATATTATTTGTTTGTTAATTGACTTTGATCTAATCCTCTTTGAAATGGGAGAATGAGCAGAACTTGGCTTTTAACAAAGGGGAAAACTAAGAATCTACTATGGAGTCAATTTCTTTTTGTATTCTGGATTTCATTCAGTATGTCATCTCAGGAGCAGCTTTGTGTACCTCCATTTTGATTCCTGAGGGAACTTGTAACATGGATTTTACAGGAAACTTTGGGAATAGGTGACTGCCACACAAGCCAATAGTCTGTTTTTATATGTAAGGGTTTTGTTAATGCTGAGATTCTTTCCCCTGTCTCTTGAACTGTATGGGCCAGTGTTTTGACCTCACAATGATGGGTATAGTTCAGAACCCAAGTATAAGATAATAATAAACTGAATTAATATTGGCCTTTTGTAAGGGGAGCTCTTTAATTGTCTAATGAATCCAGGGGAAAGAGCCAAATGATTTTTATAATTTTCTCCTTTTACAACCATTGATTGAGGGTATGATGTTGCAGTGGAAAGAGTTCACGAGAAATAATATGTTGGGAAATGGGGTCATCTTTTTTCTTGCCGTTTTAACCTCAAATCTGCTCTCTGAGTTGAGGTGCCAAAAACCAGAAACACCTCAGCTGAATGGAAACTTTTGCAGATCTGGGCATAAACCTTTCTGTTCCTCAGTTTCCCTTCTGGAACATGGGGATGGTAATCCTTCCTCACATTGAGCTATATAGATTAAAAGTGCCACGTGAATACTAAGTATGAAAATTACTATCTACTACCTATATGTACTAAGGTATATTACTATATCTATGCATATTCCTGTATTAAAATTACTATCTACAATCTATATGTTCTAATGTGTATTCCTGCATAATGTAGATAGTTATTTACTCTCTCAGTAACCTCAGAGAGAAAAGAACATGTCACATGCCATTACTGAAAGAATACATCACAATGTATTTACTAACAAAATCTATCACCCTTACTAGTCTGAGATGTATTGTAAAATAAATCTTCATGGGGGAAAATCCCTTGGAAGACTTTATTTAGGATGCAGTAATTTGTCAACTTTTCTCAGTTGCCTCCCTACTATTCAAATTTCTGTTTTCACATTTTCCTCAATGTTAGGGTCATAAGCAGCTTTAGGTGGGGGTCATGTCAACCTTTTCTTTAGGGCTAGTTAGGTGGGGAATGCAAGAACTACTACTTTTGTCACTTGGGGTCAATGATAGAAAAAGATTAGGACCTCTACTCTACAGTAATGCCAGAAGGAAAACTTCTCAATTTAACACATACTTTTTCTCTCCTTGCTTTTTCCTACTGCTTTCACTCTTCTTTTCCCCAAAAGAAAAGAGCAATTGGATGGTACTGCTAGGTACGTAACTGTCATGATTATATCCATGCTTTAAAATCATTATTGAAGGATGTTTTGTGGTTATTGTTTTGCTTGTATTCTCACATTCCACTAACCAAAAACACTTTTAACACTGTAAATATTAATTAAAACAGTCTATTTCCGCATGACCCCTTTATTCTTCCCTTTAATACTGGATCCAAGATACCATGTCTACAACTTGTAAGGTACTATGGGATTTTTGTAACTAGCCTAACTAGTTGTTTATGTTTAGGGATTGGCCTAAATGGACTTCTGCTAGACTATGCAGTAAAATCATGGCTTAGCACTCATGTTGTTATAGGGAGAATTGGGCTGTTCTAGCTAACGTTGGTTATTATCATTGCAGTATCATGAGACATCATGATTGTTGTAATTCACTACATTCACAAGCTCAGAATTACTCTGTCCCTTGGCAGTTCCTAAAAAAACCCAACTCTTTCATTTTGGGTTTGATGTAAAGTTCATTGACATCCTCAGTGGAAGACTCCCCTTGACGAAGATGGGCTTATTGAAGAGAACTAGGATTTCTTCAATGACTGCAAAGGAATGGACTATTGGTCAGACGGCAACTCCGGAAACACACTTGTAACCACATACATAGCAAGGATACAAATTTCAAAAGTGCCTAAGTCATTTAGACACTTAGTGAAACTTGACAGGACTCGGGCTCCGAAGTCACTTTGGGGCTTTTGAAAATATCACCCTGGGATTCCTGTTTTCCCTAGGTTGTGGCTTATTTTTAAACAATGGCCTCCTTCAACAGAGGGGTAACTGATCTTGCAATTATTACTGCCAGGCAGCAGAAATTAGTATCTCATGAAAGAGGTTGGGCTACTCCTGAAAAATCAGCAGCTGTATGCAGTTCTCATCGACTTTAGTGGACTTTGAATCAGGCCCTCTGATGCAATCAGTATGACATTTTCCTTTCTGTTTGCTAATGGTTCCATAACAGTTCAGACAATTACAAATTACTAAGGGGCATACTTTTCTTTCTTTTCTACTCTTCTACTCTTGCAGCATTCCTATAACATTAAATACAAATAAATGATGAAGGCTTGCTTTCTTAGTACATTCAGCTGCACAGAAAGTGATTTAGTATCTCCCGTACCTAAAAGCCGAGAAGTTCTAAGAGAGAAAGTGGTAGCAGCATAATGTATTGTTTGAGTTTTGGAATGTGAAGGAAGCAAAAGGAGCTGAGCTGTGCTGCCCAAGATGAGCTGGGAAGAAATAACTAGTGTACAGATTAAAAGAGAGGCAAGCTTGGGTGATGGAGATATACATGGAGGCTACGTCTAGACTGGCATGATTTTCCACAAATGCTTTTAACAGAAAAGTTTTCCGTTAAAAGCATTTGCAGAAAAGTGTGTCTAGATTGGCACGGACACTTTTCTGCAAAAGCACTTTTTGCGGAAAAGCGTCCGTGCCAATCTAGACGCGCTTTTGCACAAGAAAGCCCCGATTGCCATTTTCACGATCAGGGCTTTTTTGTGCAAAGCAAATCTGAGCTGTCTATACTGGCCCTTTTGTGCAAAAGGACTTTTGCCCGAACGGGAGCAGCATAGTATTTCTGCAAGAAGCATTGATTTCTTTCATGAGATCATCAGTGTTCTTGCGGAAATTCAAGCGGCCAGTGTAGACAGCTGGCAAGTTTTGCTTTTGCGGAAAAACTTGCCAGTCTAGACACAGACAGATAGCTTTTTAAATCTCCATTGTACATGCATTAAATTAGTGGCAAAGTTCCATATGATGTCAGTGACAGTAATGATAATACAAACAGAGATGGACACACACTCCAATGTAAATTCACTATTCCCCCCTCCCCCATTTCCATGAAAAAAATAGAACATTAGTCAGGTGCAGGAGAGGATTAAGGCAAAACCTTTGTAATCTGGGCTCAGTAATATAGTAGATTCAACTTTATGTGACTATGTGGGTGAACCGTTTGGGAAGAGAGAAAAGGTCCACTGAGGAGGCAGAGATGGAGGGTGGTGGGGGGAGATGAATGAGTGGTGAGGCAACATGATAAAGTCTGTAATGGGAGAAGGCTAATATAATTTTTGTGGAACCCCAAAGTTTAACTAGATCTCACCTTCCAAGCAGGGTACAACCACCCAGTTGTATGATGCAGTTGGATGAAAAGCAGGCTTGGCAGTCCATGGTCCCTGGTGATGGCACAAGATAGGAAAGTTGGTCCTTACAGGAAAGGACAGGATTCTGATGCAAGTTCTGGGTATGCCTTCCTGGCAGATTCACCTCTATGGTACATGTTGTTGCTGCTCTGAGAAGACCACTACTTCCCCTATACATGCTACATACTGACACTCTGCAAGACAGCATTTAGCCTATCCCTAGTCAGGAGTTTACCAGGTAATGGCTTCAAAAGTCTTGCTCACTTGCCTTTCACTCTTCAGCACCTTAAAGACTGGGTTGCTAGTTACGAAGGGTGTGGTTATACAACTGTTATTCCGAAATAACGATGCGAGTGTCTACACAGCAATTCCATTATTTCGAAATAATTTCAAAATAACGGAATTGCTGTGTAGATACTCGCATAGTTATTTCAGAATAATTTTGAAATAATAGACAGCTTATTCTGACTTCTGTAAATCTCATTCTACGAAGAATAATGCCTATTCCAAAATAGTGATGAAGCCGTGTAGACGCTCCACTTCTGCTATTTCTAAATAGCCCCTCTCCAGGATCATTCCTCCTGGGGCTCTAAATCGAAATAGCATGTCTACATTAGGGAAGCCTGCCTCGGACTAATTTTGAGGCTTCCCTGCAGTGTAGACGTACTATTTCAAAATAAGCTATTTTGGAATAACTATTCCAGAATAGCTTATTCCAAAATAACTGTGCAGTGTATATATAGCTTAAGAGCGCAGTATCACATTGCCATTTTGCTGTAGAAAGATGACTTCACCCCTCTCCCTTTGTCTGACATAACCAAATTCTCTTCCCCAGGGTGCCTTGCAAGGTTTGTCTGATGACTCAGGTTTTTCTGAGGCTTTAGCTCCAGGGGGAAGGTGTTCTTAGGTTCATTTTGAAATGGGAGTTCCTTATCGCCATTAGTTGATACACATATGCATGGCGAGCATACATTTTCAAAGCTTCCACCAATTTTGTATAGAATTCAGAAACATACCTTTTTTGTTCCAGCTTTTTTGCAATTGCATCTGTATTTGAGAGGGACAAGGTAATATTTGTTATTGGGCCAACTTCTAGTGGTGAGAGAGACAAGAGAGGGATTGTGAGACTGGTTTTCAGTGATGCTGACATCTGCTCCATTGAATTTAACTGGAGCTGCGGATTCTCACTCTCTCTTAATATCAAGCCATGATAGATAAGCCTTTCAGGGTTTTGAACCAGATTCTGCAGCCTTCACACAAGAAAGAGTTTTGACTGGGTATAGAGAGTATGATCTACTGATTAGACCATGGGACTTAGTATCAATAGATGAAGGTTCTTTCCAATCTCTACCACTGTCAGCAAGTCACTTATCTCTGTTTTCTGATCTCTAAAATGGAGTTGATATAATACATACGTAATAATAAATATACATAAATATAACAATAGTTTGAAATCTTTTAATGAAAAGAGCTACATAGGTCTCCTTGTTATGATGTTAGAAAGGATTGGGTATAATCTAATATTTAATTAATATTTCCATGTTGCCAGTAATAATAGAAAGATAAAAAATAAAATCATACTTTGTAAAGAGAGCTGGAAAATGTCACTGTCTGCATTTCTTCTGAATGGACCTCCACAAAACAAGAAAGGGGGACAATCTATGATCTGCCAACAGCCACAAGCCCTAACCACATCAGTTTCCATACTTCACTGTTTCACTGATAACCATTAACCTCTCATCTTAACAACTTCTTCTTCACTTTACAGTAATGTCATATTTAGTAGGGAGTCATTCTTTGGATCAAGCGTCACAAGAAAACTTAGGTATATACATTCCAGTAATAACTGAGCCTATCTTTCTCTTCTCCGTGTTTGCTGCATGCCATTTTCTGCCTGTGCTTTCTTTTTTTACTACAATAGTTCATCTAACACCCCAAAAAAACCCAAAAACCAAAAAAAGTGAGGGGACAAAAGAGCTCGCAGGAAGTTAGCACTGTTTAAAAGCTGCTAAAGTAGGTACTGTGTGCTAGTGGTTAGAGCCCTTGCTTATCATTCAGCTGACCTAGGTTCTATTTCTGGCTCTGCCAATAGACTGTTGAATGACCTGGGGCAATTCACTTCGCCACCCTGTGCCTCAGTTTCCCCATGTGTAAAGTGCTTTGAGATCCACTGCTGAAATGTGCTGTATAAGAAAGATTTAGGTGTTATTTTAAAACCTCAGTCCTGTGAACACCAACACATGTGAATAACTTTGTATGTGAGTTCAGTGGTCACTTGTGTAAATTCACTCATGTCTATAAGTATTTGCAGGACCAAGGTCCTAGACTCTGAATCACCAAAGAACTTAGCTTTAAGCATGTAAATGAAGTTGAATCCAAGCCCAAGAATGTAAGTTCTTGGGAAGCAAGAACTACATCTTCCTACAGATGGCCAGCACCTTGCATACTGCAGGTACATAATATGCAAATACTAAATGATTAAGGGATCTATCCAGATACCTTATTGTGGAAACTGATTTTCTCCCTAAATTATCAAGCACTTAATTTTATTCTCACCACTTTTTCTTACCATTCTGCTGTACCTCATTAGTTCTCCTTCCATGACCTCCAAACATGAAAACATTTGTAGGCAACTCAGCCTACATGACCCAGGCCTTCTAATTGCTGAGTACCTCCCAGGAAGCACTCTCAGAATAATTGGGCCCACCGGGTGCTAATGAAGGAACTGTGACATATTGGCTTTGTGAATGACTGATGTTGCTCTTTCATGGCTGACGCATCAAGAGGATAAGGGGCTTATTACTTCCCACTTGTAGCTAGAAGAGTTCTTCTGTAGCTCATATGTTAGAC